CCCCAACACCCTCCCCAGTCTTCTATTTCCCTCCCGAAATGTATGTCCTGTGCTGCCCAGTCCTCTCCTGGACAATACAAGTTACATTGTCCATTATTCTTTAGTAGCACTAATATCCATGCAACTTAGCTTCTCAGACACTTTAAACACACTGGATTAGATTCATTGACTACAAATATAGATTTTAAGTGACTGTAAATCTGGAGGTATAGAAGTCAGACATGGTTACAAGAAAAATAAAGCTAGAATGTCACTGGTGCCTAAGTTAACAAATGATGAGAAATTCAAAGCAAAAGTTTCCTCACCACATGCTTCCAGCCGTCTTACTGACCAAACTTCTTAGGTCAGGACCCCTCACCAAGTTCAAGGGCTGCTTCCTTTATTCCTTCAGATGCAGTGAATCAATGGGCAGAGGCAGAGAGAGAGAGAGAGAGAGAGAGGTGCTTTGGGATGTCTGCTCCCTTTTTGTATAGTGATATCCCCCCTTTGAGAAACATTTCCACCTGGTTACCAGGAGACTAAAGCTCTATGTAGAAGGATGTTCCCTGCTGCTTTTTCCTCACCTTTTGGGGATTCCTTTGTTTCCCTTCCTGCTTTATGACTCTGGTTACTGTTTAGATACAAAATTAAGCAGCGCACACATTTCTTTGCATAAGACAGAGCCGTTTGCCAGCCTGAGTCTGGAACACATAGTAATAACCTGATACATTGTAATTTTATAACTTCACATCCAGGAGCCCTCACTTAACGTTGTAGTTATGTTCCTGAAAAATGCGACTTTAAGTGAAACGATGTTAAGCGAATCCAATTTCCCCATAAGAATTAATGTAAATGGGGTGGTTAGGTTCCAGGGAATTTTTTTTTTGCCAGACAAAAGGCATTATATGCATTTTAAACAATTTTAAACAAGCAATTTAATACAGGTATAAGTTAAAAAAATGTTAAAGAAGCAATTTAATACGACAACCATCATTGCTGAGTATGAAGCAATGGGAGGTGCCCCCACCTATACCCCACACAGGCACAGCCCAGTGGCACTGCAGACAACGAGGCAGGCAAGGAGCCTGAAGTTGCCGTAGGTAGGAGAAGCACATTGCATAGCACCAGCGGCAGCTTCCCCTACTGTGCAAGCACCAGGTGTGGGGGGCTTAACCCTCGGCCCACCCTCTCCACCCCTTCCCCCAAGACCCCACCCTTAAGCCGCCTGTTCTCCCCCCACCTCCTCCCCTTTTACTCCACACGCCGCATCCTCGCTTCTACCCAAACCTCCACTGACTCCTGAACGCCGCAAACCAGCTGATTGCCATGGGCTGAAGGTGGAGGGAGCAGGGGGAAGATGCTGATCTATGCAGTCTGCTGATGGGAGGCATTGCAGAGGCGGAGGGGAGCTGATAGGTGGGCTGCCAGCTGTGGACAAAGCAGGCAGCCAAACAACGTTATAGCGGAGCATTGCACAACTTTAAACGAGCAGGTTCTGCAATGGAGCAGCGACGTAAGATCGAAACAACGATAAGCAAGAGGACGTTAAGTGGAGAGTTACTGTACATTATCAAAAATATTGTAATAATATTTACAATGAGACCATAACTATTTCTAATGGACTCATAGCTTTATTTAGCATCTTAAAGCTGAGCTCTGTGTGCAGATAATATGCATGCAAGAGGGATAGTTTTGTGAACTGCAAAAGTCCGTAGCATGCTGTGGTCTCCTCCTGAGCTCCTCTGCTCATCATGTGGTCTCCATCAGCAAAATGAGTGAACCTATCCTTCCTACTTTGGGGAGTAACCTAGCAAGGGAAGGACAAAGCATACCATGGTGATTGGCATGCTATAAATAGCTAGATAATCTGGGATATGCTTACATGTCTTACAGGTTTTACATTCCACCTATTGGGGCTGGGAGAATGAGGTTATTCTGAAACCAGGAATGACTGAGAAGATATCAGCTACAGTGCAAACAATTAGTACGTTTCAACTGTATCTAACTTTCTGTTCCTTTGATTCCAAATGTATTGGTAAGACTGGTTGAAATTTTTTTCCATGATATTCTCATTTCCCTAGAAATTATCAGCTTTTCATCAAAATACCAAACTCCCCTCCTCCCTAAACCATGGCTGTGGGACTCTGGTGAAGTTCCAGGGCAGTTCAGCAGGAGGAGAGACCATCATGCATCATGGGAGGGGTGTAGTTCAGCCTGGGAGCCTGGCCCATGGAAGAGATTGGTGGTGTGTGGTTTCTGAGTCACCCCCATGGTATTTCCGAGTCAAAATATTAAGTTCTTAGAAAAAGAATTCGGTCTGCACCAAAAACAAAAAACAAAAACCCTTTGTGGATCAGTTCTACCCAACTTGCACTGAAAACAGCAAGATGAAATATACCCCTAACCTCATACTCTGTAACTCTGGTAGAAATTGCATCATTTAATAACACAGGAGGAAAGAGTGGGGCGAGCTAATCCTCAGGGCATCAATTAAACCGAAGGTGGCTTTGGTTCACTGAACGCATTTATTAGGTGTTATGGCTCTCGGAGCTCAGGTATTCCCAGTTGCTTCAGGAATCATGTCCCACAGATCACACATCTCAGTATAAAACTTTCCAAATGCTCCAAACTGGCAGTTTCTGTCACTGGAGAAAGGCCACCACATCTCTCTCTTCTCAGCAGGTACGTGCTATTATCCTGAATTACAGTCACACACACATATACAGACACCATGGTGATCAGCAGGTATTGAATTCAAGACCTCCAGCACTTAACGCCTCAGTCCCTATTCCTACCCCTTCAGCTAAAGAAGCGACCTCCTTGGTTGGAAAAAATAGGCAATTACATAGTCACTGAAGCCAGTGCTTTCCATTATGTCTCTGGGTTTTCCTACAGGCTAAAGTAAATGCCAAAAAGTTTAATTAGCACAGTAAGCAAGTTTACTCCAAACTGACATCCCAAGCCACAGAGCTCCCCTTGCCCGAAGAGGGTAGAAAGATTGACATTCCTTTACTCTCACCCCTTCTTTAGCCAAAAAATAATCTCTTCAGACTGAAACAATATCACCCTGATTCTCTCACAACAGAGTCACAAGTCTCTGTTTGCTGCTTGGATTAGTGAACAGGAGTGTCCGTGTGTGGGGCATGATTAACCTGTGTCATTGTATTTATGCAGTGTGTATTTTATCGAACAACTGGAATGAGACGCTGTGAACATCTGGCTCTGTGAACTAAACCCTTCCTGGAGCGAGTACTGATGTCCCAGATGACTGGAAAAAGGCTAATGTAGTGCCCATCTTTAAAAAAGGGAAGAAGGAGGATCCGGGGA